CACAGGCCGGCTCATCCCCACAGGGCTGCTCACCCCCACGAGGCTGCTCAGCCTCCCCACAGGGCGCTCATCCCCCCCACAGGGGCCTCGCCTCACCTCCACCAGGCTCGCTCACCCCCCCAGCAGGCTACTCAACCTCCGCTGCAAAGGCGTGTCACCGTCCCCACAGGCTGCTCAGTGTCCCCCACGAGCTCTCACCCCACAGGGACTGCTGCACCCCCCACAGCTGCTCACCTCCCACAGGGCTGCTCACCCCCACAGGCTACTCACTCCGCGAGCGCTCCCCCACAGGCTGGCTCAACCCCCCCCACAGCCTGCTCAGGCTACTCACCTCCCCACAGGGCTGCTCACACCCCCACAGGGCTACTCACACCCCCACAGGGCTACTCACCCCCCACAGGGCTGCTCACCTCCCCACAGGGCTGCTCACCCCCCACAGGGCTACTCACCTCCCCACAGGGCTGCTCACCCCCCACAGGGCTGCTCACCCTCCCACAGGGCTACTCACCCCCCACAGGGCTGCTCACCTCCCCACAGGGCTGCTCACCTCCCCACAGGGCTGCTCACCTCCCCACAGGGCTACTCACCCCCCACAGGGCTGCTCACCTCCCCACAGGGCTGCTCATCCCCCACAGGGCTACTCACCTCCCCACAGGGCTGCTCACCCCCCACAGGGCTACTCACCTCCCCACAGGGCTGCTCACCTCCCCACAGGGCTGCTCAACCCCCCCCACAGGGCTGCTCACCTCCCCACAGGGCTACTCACCTCCCCACAGGGCTGCTCACACCCCCACAGGGCTACTCACACCCCCACAGGGCTACTCACCTCCCCACAGGGCTGCTCACCCCCCACAGGGCTACTCACCTCCCCACAGGGCTACTCACCCCCCACAGGGCTGCTCACACCCCCACAGGGCTACTCACCTCCCCACAGGGCTGCTCACCCCCCACAGGGCTACTCACCTCCCCACAGGGCTGCTCACCCCCCACAGGGCTACTCACCTCCCCACAGGGCTACTCACCTCCCCACAGGGCTACTCACCTCCCCACAGGGCTGCTCACCTCCTCACAGGGCTGCTCACCTCCCCACAGGGCTGCTCACCCCCCCACACAGGGCTGCTCACCCCCCACAGGGCTGTGCGCCCCCGAGTCAGCCTGTTTCCCCAGAGCAAGCGACCTGAGGCAGAGGCAGTGGGCACCCAAGACTACAGCCACAGTCTCTTTATAAACTAATCCTGGAGGTGAAGTCCCATCCCTTCTGCCACATTCTCTCCATCAGAAGTGAGTCGCCAAGTCCACCCCTCACTGGAGTGGAGGGACGCTAAGCTCCACCTCTGGAAGGGAGGAGCACGAAATAATTTGTGGACAAGTTTTCAAAAAATACTACACTACAGCCACACTTTGCTGGATGTTGTTTTTTCTAAGTGTGGCACCTCCCTACCCCTAGGCACTCGCGCGCGCGCGCGCGCACACACACACACACACACACACACACACACGTGCGCACGCGCACGCGCACACACACGCTCACGCGCCCACTTGCCAGACTAAATCCTACTCTCCCTTCGGGCGTCCAATCCAGCATCTCTTCCTTCCAGAGCCGCCTTGCCTGGCCACACAGGCGGTGCAACGGCACAACTCCAGGTGGTGTCACTCGCCTGGTAGTCATTGTAGATTTCAGAGTTTATTAAGACAATTTTCTGTAGGTGACTGAAACTGAAAGAGGCCCCAGGCGGACTCATATTGTGACACTGGTGTGCAAGAGGCCCCCCCATTCTCTGGGGAGCCCCAGCTGTCTCAGGAAACCCACAGCTCTACCTTGGTCCTAACTGGGGCAGAATCCCACGCTGCTGCTAGGCACATGTGTCCTGGAGCAGGTGGCTACACATGCCGCCCTCGTGGACGGACCCGGGAGCCGCCGGCTTGGGCACGCCCCACAGCAAGCACTACGGAGCAGGCAGGCAGGGCGGCGAGGACCAGGCCACGCTGTCTGGTGAGAAAAAGTGAGGCCCGAGAAACAGGTGCAGCTTCTCTGCTGTGTGAGCTTAGGACGTTCTCCTAACCTAGGTCTTCCTCATCCGAGAGAGGCCGGGGCGTCAAGCAAGGGAGGTGAACACAACGGAAATCTGTACCTTCCGTAAGGTGCTGCTAGGGTCTACATGTGCGTGTCCCCCCCAGTCTGCATGCTAAAATCCTCCCCGAGGCGATGGGAGCAAGAGGTGGGCCTTCGGGGCGGTGATTAGGTCATGCGGTGGAGTCCTTATAAAAGAGGTCAGTGTCCTTACGAAATCGCCCACAGGAACTCGTCACTCCTTCCCCCAGGCAAGGGCACAGCGAGAAGAGGCATCTGCAAACCAGGACACGACATCAGCCTCACCGGACACGAATCTGCTGACACCTGATCCCAGACTTCCCAGCCTCCAGGACTATGAAAAAGAAATCTCTACAGTTTATAAGCCACGCAGTCCGTGGCGTTTTGTTATGGGAGCCAGAGCAAACTAAGACAGGCACTATTACAACAAGCCAGGGCCCAGGGCAGGTGGGGCAGAAAGTAATGTTAGGGGCCCAGACTTGGACTTTGCCAAAATCAAATAATAAAATCAAATGAGGAGGCATTGACTACGATGGGGCATGATCCAGCTACTTAACCCTTTGCACTCGGATGTCGAGTGTGGATGATGTTGAGTGGATAATGAGAAAAAAGCAAGCGAATGCAAAGGGTTAAATAAGTGAGTCAGATCTCTATCTGTTGACTTCAAGGATATCCATGATGTGATGTTAAATGAGAGAGGCAAAAAAAAGGTACATTGTAAAATTCCATCTATGTAAAAGCAATACATTTTTTTAAAAAAAAAGAAAACATTTAGCCATTTCTACCTGTATGTCCAGGGTTTTCATGCTACACTGCTCCAAAGAACTTCACTTTCATTACAGTCTACGCGAAGTTGTGTCCTCGTTCCCATCACTCTGAAACTGTGCAGTGCTCAGCCTGGGCAACTGTACAAGGGACCTTGTAATAAGACCCCATGCAGGGACTTGGAGGACATAAAAAGAAGAGTGAGGCAGTCACTACCCCTGGTTTGCTTCATGATTTGAATCATGATTCATGTTTGGCGGTCACTCAACCATCAGGATCTCTGATCATTCTGTTTGAGTATTCTAGAGGCCAGGACTCTTCCACCACCATGCACATGGGTTTCTCAAGAGCCTACAGGAGGCTGGATTCAGGGCTCATGCCTGTAATCCTAGCACCCTGGGAGGCTGAGGTGGGCAGATCGCTCAAGGTCAGGAGTTCGAAACCAGCCTAAGCAAGAGCGAGACCCCGTCTCTACTAAAATAGAAAGAAATTAATTGGCCAACTAAAAATATATAGAAAAAATTAGCCGGGCATGGTGGCACATGCCTGTAGTCCCAGCTACTCGGGAGGCTGAGGCAGGAGGATCGCTTGAGCCCAGGAGTTTGAGGTTGCTGTGAGGTAGGCTGATGCCATGGCACTCTAGCCCGGGAAACATAGTGAGACTCTGTGTCAAAAATAAAAAAAAAGAGCCTACAGGAAAAGATCAAATATAGTGTGCCCAAACATCCTACCCCACTACCTCAATTTCTCAGAAACAGGCTCCAACAAGCCGCTAACACTCAAGGAAGTGGCATGGGAAGACGAGAGGAGGAGCCACTCGGGGAAGATAGCAAGTCCCACTGCAGC